ATCAATACATAGTATAAAACAAAGTCGCTTTCGCTGTATGTCCGTATGTATGCTTAGATCTTTAAAACTACGCAACGGATTTTGATGCGGTTTTTTTTAATAGATAGAGTGATTCTTAAGGAAGGTTTGTATGTATAATACATGCATATTGCACCCGTGCGAAGCCGGGGCGGGTCGCTAGTAATATTATAAAGCTGAAAAGTTTGATTTTTTTGTTTGTTTGTTTGAACGCGCTAATCTCCGAAACTACCGGTCCTACTGGTTGGATAGCCCATTTATCGAGAAAGTCTATAAAATATCACGGTACGATTAATAGGCGCCGAGCAGTGCGAGTGAAATCGCGCGGAAGAAACTAGTAATTTATACTTGTCTCAACAACTCATCAGTCATCACTTATCAATCGCTTCCATCATCAGCTTCTTGACAAACACTTTGGCTTCTACAAAAATACAATAATAACTCCTTTTACTAACAGTGCTACGTATCAAGATGTGTGACGGCGAAGTATGGTTTTCGAAAGAGAAACGTAATAGAGCCAGAGTTAGTTAAGTCGAGGTTTCGGGAATCTAACTTCATTGATCCGGAGACCAAACCACTGACTAAAGAAATAGAAGACAATTGTTTGGATGATCAATACTTTAGATACGAGACTAGTGAGACATACTGCGACTATAACAAGTTTGAACTCTGTGCCAACGTTAACGCTTTGATGGTGAGTATGACAGTAGGTAGTGTTTACCATAGTATTGTAATAGGTCGACTCAAGATTACTCAAAAGATTCCATTGTTTTAGCTAAAAAATACAAATAACATAACCATCACGCCTTTTATCCCTGAAGAGTGAGACAGCCATGAGGTTATGTATGACTGTAAACTTTATATTCCAACTAATAATGACGCTTTTTCCAACAGGGTTGCCAAAAGTTCTACGCCACGCCCCAATGTGAAATGCTGGCTGAAAATGTCGCTATTTGCAAGCCAGTTCTTCAAGACTACTTGGATTACCTCAATGGAAGTAACTCTTGCTGATCAAAGCAACAGAATTAACCTAACCAGGGGGCTTACTCTTGAATCCAATTCCGATCGATCGACATTGATATTGTGAAATTTCGTAATCTTGAGTTGTAATATTAACGCCCATTGCATCCGAATTGCGTGGATATTGATTGAACTAAATGGTATTGAGTTTGGCTTTATATTCCGTACTCTGAATGCTATTTTAACAACTACGATAGGGGTTGTATATATAGTGTTGACATTGAATAATTATTGAGATTTTATTGGATTGAAATTGCATTGACATTGAGATTGGTTTCAAGGGTAAGCACCCGACAGTCCTGACGTTTTTCTTTATACAATATGTCGGTCTATATTAGGGTAGTAGAACCGTATTTTTTCCTTCTAGACTGTCAAACACCAAGCGGTCACCGGTGACCGCAACCTATTGTTCTATAATTGTGTCTACAAAACCGGTACTCGACGAGCTAGTACAGAATTAAATACTTTCGCCGATATATTGATTTGAAATATCGTGTGACGCCAGGATTTACTTTTTTTATAGGGTAGCGTGACATAACGCCCTCCCACTCCTAAACTTAACTCCATTTTATCTAAGTATTGTTTTCTTATACCTACGGCAAAATAAAAAATATGTGTTTAATATTTTTTCATTATCTAACTAACAGACTAATTACTTTTTATCATTCACTGTCTACTTACCCTATTATATTTGCAACTACACTTATTGTACCTATAAGGTTTCTTTTAGTATAATTTTGTTGATAATGTTTTGTATCAACTCGGGATTTAGTAGTTCCTCGTGCAAAATATCACCAGATGAGTTAGATATCCTTAATAAATAAGGTTCAAAATCCTATTTTAAAATAACATGTAATTTACATTTTACCATGTGGTTATCAGTAGGTATTACGATACCTATTGATTACTACACTACTTATCATAAATATGAATTGCTGTGTACCTATTTATGACCATTTCGTTTCTTTTAAATTTAAGTTAACTATTTGTTCGTGGCTAAGACATAAATAGGAAAGTAATATATTCAATTACAAATTGCTATGAATTGTCTTTCTATTATTACCATCCACGATGGGTTACCGTATCATTGCTTTTGTTTTAGTGGTATTTTTATTTGGAACATCGACGGTAAGAAACAAAATTTTAGTAGTTGTTTTAACATTCATTTTAACAATTTGATTTTCATACATAATACAACATCACGCCTTTTACACGGAAGGTAGAGGTGCACATTATAGCACTTAATGTCACTGTACAATGTTACACCCACTTTGCACTATTTATGTTATGAGTCCCTTGTAATAGGGGTGAGCCTATTGACATATACCGCGCACAATTCCAGACTCCGTGCTAATACTGAGATTTTTTATTTTTTTTTATTTTCATAGTTAATTGATTACAGGTCGCAAATCATAGAAAATGTGGATGTTTGAAAGGTTATCAGATTGCAGCTTGTAATGCAGTATTCAGCCCGAGGGTAAGTCGAGCATTATGTACAGTCAGGTAAGTTAGGTATTTAGTATGCAAGTAAGGAAATAAAGATTGATTCAATACAGAAAGAAAGGAGAAAGAAAAAGCATTTATTCGACAGTAGGCACGCACACAGACACAGAACACACAGAGATAGTAGCTATTGTTATACTTAATTGTACCTATGCTTTGTAACGAAGCCACATTGATTTTAACCTCAGTAGCCAACGAAGGGTTACTGTCTCTGTACTGAATCAATCTTTTTTTTCTTACCTGCACCTGTAAATATACTGCAAAAAGATCTACAGATCTATTAGTTGTGAACCACAGAGGGGCTCTTCCTCATAAGCTGCGTGCGTGGCGATGTCGCGCAGCCTACTACCTATTGGCCTACTAGAAACTAGTTTAGCCTTTCTCAGTATATTCACGTGAGTAACCCACGATTATTAGTTAATTTAGTATGTCTCACAATATATAAAAATATAAATAACTGTGTATAATTATTGCTTAGGTATCTACTTAACTAAAAAGGTGGGTATTTTAGAAATGAACCAAGGTAGGTAGGTTCTATTCGTAAATACCTAGTTACTTACCATTATGAAACAGGGCCTATAATAATAAACAAAAACATTTTTGTTTCAGGCAATGGAAGTGAATTGCTGTCATCCAATGAAAATTTTAGTGGACGCGAATAATCAGTGCCTGGGCGAACTAGATACTGATAAATTTACTGTAAGTCGATACCACCATATAATTTTTGTAAATTATATGGTGTGTACTTTAAGGCCCTATCACAATGTCTGATTACGTTTCTATTAACTAACAGATTTAGTATAAAATACAGTAAATTATGATCCGTCAGTTCGACTAATAAAAACTTACCTAGTAATCAGGTCCTTATCAAAATATTTTATTCATCTGTCCATTTCCAACTCGTTAGGGATAGTGTGGCCTAGATCTTATTTATTAAACTGTTTCTCTGGTTCTACAATCAACCAGATGAGAACGGGGGTTGTCCTTCTATTTTTACTAAAATATTAATAATTTGATCCCAGTGTGCGGTATCAAAATGTGCAACAGAGAAGTTTAAAATAAGAACAGGAGACGACATAGATCTAGAAAAGGTAAAATCGGTGAGTCAGAGAATTGGCGACAACGATCCCGAGACCTTACCACCGATTGAAGAAATAAAGAAAAACTGTTTGGACGATCGCTACCTACGTTTTGTTACTAGCGACTCTTGTTGTGATACTATGAAATTTCAAGTCTGCGCCTACGTTAGCGCTCTGATGGTGAGTGTGGGTTCCATATTGATTATCCTTTATATCATCACCTCAAAGTATGATTATGGAACAAATTATCATACCAGCGGTTAACAGCCACATCATAACGTCCACTACTGAACATAGGCTTCGCCTTAAAAGCTTCAAGGGGGCTTACTCTTGAATCCAATTCCGATCGATCGACATTGGTATTGTGATTGTGTTACAACATTAGCCCCCATTGCATTCGTATTGCGTGGATATCGAATGAACTAATAGGTTTTGAGTTTGGTTTTATATTCCGTGCTCTAAATGCTATTTTAGTAGCTACGATTGGTGTTATATAGTTTTGAAATTGAATAATATTGAAATTGCATTGACATTGAGATTGGTTTCAAGATTATGCACCTAGATCGGTCGGTTACAAGCGACATCATTTTTTCTTGCAACCTTCATTATGTCGTCTGTCCACCACACAGTTATACTTACCTACACACACACATCTGTTTTTCGTGACTAACTTAAAACTGTATATGGTTATAACTAGAAAATTTATTAATTTATTTTGAAAATGAACCTTTTGTTTGTGTTAATTAAGTTGTTTTGCCCACAGGGTTGTCAGAAGTTTTACACTCACCCGCACAGATGTAGGAGGCTGGCAATAAATGTGGCTATTTGCAAGCCGGTCCTTCAAGACTACTTGAACTACATCAATGGAAGTATCTCTTGCTGATGCCAAGTAAAGGATTCCTAAACTTTTCTATTTAAAGTGAATATATCTGTAAATATATCTGTTTCCAGTCACATCATTGTTCATTATTTAACTCAACATAATTTTAGTAGACATTGATATAAATCTATAGCAGTTCTAGCAAAATTGGACTAACATTTTATTTTTAAACTCTACACAACCCTCCACATTATAGGTACCTAAATATAAATCTCGTGTCACAATGTTTGTCCTCAATGGACTCCTAAACCACTTAACCGATTATAATAAAATTCGCACACCATGTGCAGTATCTGCATATGCAGCAGTCAGCTAGTAGGTACCTAAATTTTAAGTTAAAATCTTGGAGAAAAGTCAGTTACCATTATTCCAAAGTCAAGTCAAACAACGGTTGTGTTAACTATTAATTTATTTGACTTCAAATTTATCTAAGAACTAATTCTGAAAAGTAAAAATAGTTTTTGTGACACCTATTTATTTTTCTATTAGCAAATGAATAGATAATCTGGTCATGCATTAATCCACCGTTGTATTACTCAATACTGATACTGAAAAAAGATAAAACGAAACTTTACATTTGATCACACGCACATACTTACTTTTTTGTTGACATAAAAGACTTATTGCTTAATTAATTTTATTACGTAGTGGTTTGTTGCTGTCTCCAGAACTCCTCGCGATTCTCTAAGAACCTGATGGCTTCCTCAGCCTGCCTCATCACCACGTCGTTCTTTTTGTCTGCAATGGCCAAGTCAGGGTTCTTCAACAAGTTCTCAAGATAGATCTTGTCGGAGTTCAGCTGTCCCAGCACTGGCCTCGCAGATTTTGATCTCTTCTTCGGAGCTTTCTTCACCACTTTCACCGCTCCAATGGTATTTTCAATGGCTTCCTGGAATTAAAAGATGGAAAAGTTTTTAATTTGTACATTGATAAATCCAAGTTGTATCATAAGTAGTCGTAGAATATATGTAATGGGTAATTATAGTGTACCCATTTTTTTTTAGTCGTTATCATCATATGGTGATGACTAAAGAAAATAAAAAAAGTATTATTCTCTTATAACAATAAGGCGTAAGCACTGCTCATATGAAGAGAGGTAGACTTTTTTCGATCAAGAATCTACTTCAAGATCATGTAGTTAAGTACCCACATATTATTTGTTTCATTACTTCGATAAAACCACTGAAGATAAAATATCTGTACCTACTATACCTGCTAAAATATCGCTTTATTTATTAAAAAATATTATAGTTACCTGTGCTTTTTGGACGCCAAGTCTGAAGTCATTCAAGTCAGGCCTGGCTCTCAAACCTCGGTGGTAGTGCACGAGACTCATTTCGAACTCTCCACAGTAATAAAGAGCCTCTGCTTTCCGGAGTAGGGCTTTAGCATCCTTAGGGTCTAGTTTAAGAGCTGCTTCAGCATCTAACAGTGCTGAGCGAGGTTCTCCAAGGAGGAGGTAGCATTTACTGCGAGCAACATATGCTGCTTTCTCGTCAGGAGCTAGTTCAATAGCCTGGAATTATAAAAACAGCATGTTAGTGTTATCCAAGACGCCAGTGTCAACTACACGGAAATGGACTGTTGATGATGATGTTGGCTACAAATACTACTTTAGTGGTATACAAATTACTAAACACGAATTATTTAATTGGTGCTACATGTCGTGGAATTGATCCTCGCACTTAACAATTATCTTAGATATACATGCATACCAGATTCCGACGGTTACTTTAATCATCTTGCACGAATATTATCACCCTAAATTCTACCTTATTGACGAACAACACAGCGGTACGGTAACGCTCCCTCATCATCTCAGCCCTAGCGAGTGCCAGCAGCGTGCCGGCATCGGCTTCAACAGGTAGCTGCAGAGCGCTACTACGTTCTGCTTTATCCTTCAAGTTCAAAGACTGCTTGATGTCCTTCGAGCCCATCACTACTGCAGCAGCTCGATCCTTGTCCGTATACAATTCCTCTTCGCGTCGTCTCCTTTCGCGTTTTGGTTTTCTCTTCCATTTCTTCTTCGGCTTAACTGACTCCTTTCTCTCCTTGGTAGCCTGTTTCTCATCCTCGACCTCTGGTTCAGCAGAATGTGGTGCTCTCTTGCTGATTGAGGCTTTTTGCACGGGTGTTTCTTCTTCCTCATCGCCTATACCGACTCGGACGAAGCTCTGAAGGAACTCAGCATCCTTCGTAGGTCCGAGGATGGACCTGGCTTGTGCTTTAGCGTTGTCAAAATCCATGAAGAAATTATCCTATGTCCTTTAGTGGTTATGTAACGCAGGTGTGTGGGAAGGCGTCAGTATCGACGCCTCAGCTGTCGTTGTCATGGTGACTGAATGTGTTTTCGCACCCACTTCTTGACACACTAGTGGTATATTGTCCGGCCTATGGTACCGCTGTGTTGTATTTTGCCATGGTACTATAAATTAGAGATGAGCAGATATATACATTAAACTAACACCGAGGAGATAAAAATTTGGAATGAGGGAAGTAAAATAAACAAAGACCGTTCACAGATGCTGATCTGTGAACGGTATCTATTGACATTGAAGCATAACTATCCTTTAACACGAAACAGGATAATTCGTATTATAATTTACATACAATTTTCTAAGATGCAAATACTTATAAAACTGAAACCTACCTACTGCAATCAACATAATAACACAAACTTGATTTGCATAAATACTTCCGTGTTACGGTGCAGGGGACCGCACGCGTAAATTAAATTATAATTTACTATTTAAATTCATCTATAATTTTACAAACCCCTATTTTATTATCCTAAATACAAAGTCACAAAAGCTATGCAACTAAATTGAATAACCAGAAACCATATTAACATACTATAATTTATGTATAGAATTAGAAAAGAAGCATATATTTCTTAGGTTAACTAAAAATCGCGGGTTACCGACACCGGGTCGCGGCGATGTCGCGCAGCCTACACACATCGACATTGCCGCAACCGCGCACGCTGCTCATGAGGAAGAACCCCTCTGTGGTTCGAAACTAGTAGAGCTTTTCTCAGTATATTCACGTGAGTAAACCGCGATTTTTAGTTAATTTAGTATGTCTCACGATAGTTATTATAAAACAGATTTCTTAGGTAAATAAAGTAGCTACTATAGGACTATAGGACTAGGACACGACTATATTTAAATTACTATGTTTTCTTTATCTAGATACAAGCATGATGACCACATACCTAATTATTTGTTTTTGTTATTGTTGCATTTAAATAATTTGCACAATGTTACGAATAGTGTACTATGTACAATAAGTAGCGTAACGCTCTACTACGGCGTAGCAATGGTTGTTGCTTTCGTGAAAATGAGAGTGAGTGATCAAGGATCAAGTCCAAACTACAAATAATAATAATATTTGGTATTTTGTACCTTAGCTAGCGAATTGAGTCCTCGATCATAGTTGCCGTTCTTGATGTGTCCGGAGGCTTCGTCGCGGTGCTTCTTCGCCTCCACAGGGTTTGTGATCGGCAGCTCTGGTTCCTTTCCCCGCCCCATTTTGTGTCACGGAATTGATGAACCCTGAAATTACACGATGTCTACTTTCAAAAGGTTTCATTAGGAGTTTACTTATATTATAATACATTCGCTTTCTACACAACAATGTCTGTCTATTGATATTTTCAATTCTGAAAGCATACATAATACTATATTCATCCAAACCCGACCCTCGTATTCAGTAGTGACTCATGTCCGGATCTTAAAACTGAATCCAATATTACTATTATGAATTTATAAGTCCACCATTAAATTCATATTGTCCAAAATAAACAGATTCAGTTACCGAAAAATGATTAAAGTGGCCCAAAGCGCTTGGTAAATATTTAGCCTGAAACCACAACCTTTCTGTAATGTATTAGGCAAATGTTTGCTCATTTAGCGACCCTGGACTATGACGGATGGTTCAGCCGCTACCACCGACAGTAGCTACATAAATCTCACTATTTTTGCCCTTTATTTGTGTTCGCTTTTAATCTGATAAAATTTTGCGCTAGGCTGTGAGAATAGCGGTTTGGTTCAAGCAGTTCCCATTTTTGCAATTAGACATACTAATGGAATTGAAATGTTCACTGATAATTTTTCATTAACGATAATTCAATAATAAATAAATTAAATTTTCATCAATTACGATTTTGCCTACGGTTTATAATAAATCCGCTTATTGTTTTCATTTGGTTCAGTCTATTGATTAGGTAGGCTTTATAAATCTGCATTGTGCAGGGGGCAATATTATAAATGTTTGTTTTATATCATTGAAAATAAAAACTACCAAATCTTTAGCCACTGTCTAAGTGCCGCGTGATCCCCGCTGTGCTTATGGCCCCAACGTGCCGTTCAATTGTAATCGCTTCCGTGATGGCTACCTATTACTCTCCTCAGTTATCGGGACATCTCACCCAATGTCATATTTGTCGTATTCCGACTTCTTTGGGTGAGGGGTGCATTAATATTAGTTTTTATCATACGGAAACGAATCGCTATTCGATTATTGGGGATTAATTTTGAAATTATTGGTTTATTTGTTCCCTCGTCTTTTTTCCTGTTTCTAGAGAATATTTGTTGACCTATTTGGTTTGGAAGTACTGAATTATAAGAAAAAGCACAAACACATATAAATATATTATAGCACAAATTCTCATCTATGTACTGTACCTGCTTTCTGTTCTGTACCTAACGTGTCTACAGTACGAATTAATTCAACCTCGAGAGTAAGTAGTCCTTAATGTTTCGACATGTTATGCACCAAAAACTACCTTGTTCAAATGTTCAGCAACGAAATGGCTATCCCGCTACCGAAAACGAATTAGCGTGTCATCTCCCAGTTTACCCGTCAAGGTAAAATGGAAAATTACCGAGCTTCCAAAACGGCATTATCAATGTTTCTTTTTACGAAAGTTATTTTTTAATCTATCGCTTCATTCGTTGGTCTATGAAATGATTGCATTCCGTCGGCGAACTGCTTGGTATTAAAAGTTTGCTAGTTGGTTTGCGTGGCGAAACTGACATTTATTGTAGTTACAGATTATGAGTTTAACTTTATAAAATATTGTTTTTCAACAATATTAAAGTTATAGTTCTCATATCAGGTGAGCAGCAGAATGCATGTTGATTTAAAGATACTTTTGGACAGTTTTATTTCATTTTTCAGACTTTAACTTTTTATGGATCAGTTGGGGTCAGTCAATCAAAAGTTGTCGAAGTGGGGAAGGGTAAGTTAACGCAAGACAATGCTGTTTAACGCAACATAAATTCGGTGTAGGTTTACCTTCCCTTCTGGAGATACTGTTGATTGATATTGGTAATAATGACGTCACGATTATGCAACGAGCTCATAAATAATTGTGTTGCAAGTGAGCCGTGCCGTCATAACTTTGGCATCGGCTGGTGCTCATTACCGTTGGATATTATTCATGCAAGCCTGCCAGCTTAGCGGGTACCTAGATCACGATATGCCATCATAATGCAGAAACCAATGCTGATGTTCATGTAGCTTTAGTATGATATTAAGAAATAAGAAATTAATTACATTAGCCTAGCCTATATCTATAGTGGCATTGCGAAACTTATTTGGAGTTTGAATTTTCTTTAAAGCTGATTATATCGGTAGTACCTAATGAGATATCAAATATAATAAGTGGAAAAGGAGCTTTGTCTTGCCCTTTATTTAGTTAGTAGATGTTGTAAGAGGCCGACAAGAAGGTATTTAGATAATGATGGTAAAATGGGGCACCATCGAGTATTAAGTTTTAGTAGCCTATTGCTTCTTAGGTTGGCTTAGATTAAATGATTCACAGCGTATTTATTTTACCATTAACTTTCTAGAGCACTAATTTATGCCCTCATAAAAAACATAAGAATACTTCTCTATTAAGCCCAATTTCCCCATTTTATTGCTTCTTGAAAGAATCTCATCAGCTAAAATATGAACAATAATATTGTTTACGACGTACTCATCTAGTACGCGTTATCATAGCTACGTGGTATCTAGGAACGTGAAACACGCGAGCTCACGATACGCCAGTTTACGACCACAAAAATAATGAAATTAACCATTATTTGCCTTGTAAACTTGTACACGACGTCCGCGACTTAACTCAACCGGATCGAACTAGATCTTTTGAAGATAGCGCATAATTTACTACTGATATAAAGGGTGGATGATACACTGTAACAAGGGTGGATGCAAGTTCGCTTTTTACCCCACTACGGCGAAGACAAAAGGTGGGTTATGATATTTACTTTTAGTTACCAAAATCGGCCTAAGTAAGTCCATCAAATATGCTAGAGTTTTATCTAACGATGTAATATCTAGTACTTAGGCAATCTGTACCTGTACGGCTACGGTCTATCTTATCTAAGAATTTGTGGCTTAAAAGTACCTACTTGTGATTGCAACATCCACACCAAACAGTCGGTTACTTTTAAAAATGTCTCATATAAGTGAATTTCCTAAATACCTTGCGTTGTTTCGCCCACATATTTTCCCACTATAATAATTGACATACACATCAATATTGAAAAAATTAAATTAACTAATCTGCATTAATTTAATTTAGGCACACAGCCTACAAGCTACAGTGTAGCTTCCAACCCTGAACAGGTACAATGTCTTTTTGATTTGAATTGATAGCGATGTGATGAGCACAGTCATTTGTTTCGTAGTTTATTACGTAGCATTAAGCTTCGGAAGGTTATCTGGACTATCAATCAGACTGCCATGGTTCGGTCTAGCTAGACGATATACTATAATATAGTAACTGATCTTTTAGTTATGGTAAATGTCTACATGTCTCTACATTTTTTATGTTTGCGTAGATATAGAAGTTAAGGACATCCTTAATTAACATCTAAGTAGGTAATGTTTGGTAGGAAGATACGCTTAGGTAATATACCTATACCTAACATAGAAGTGATTGGTCCCCCGAACCCTTACGGACATAATTTTATTACAAGCTAAAATATAAACATAAAGTAATGGTAGGTACCTTTACGTAGGTAACAGCGTAAAAATAAACAGCATAACTGTTTATGGTTTTTGTTGTTATATAGTACCTACATAATGTCTTCTTTCTGAGAAAAATATACGATTTATTTATTTACATTTTGTTATAATCGTAGTCCTAGTTTAAGAAACAATTGATTATTAATATTTAACATCAAAATAATTTTAATCTCATTCTTAACTTGTTTTAAGCGTATTGAAAAAGTGTAACCTATGGAATTTCTTGCTCGTTCTTCTCCACCTTGGAATGATCAAATAGGTTCA